GTTAAAATAAAAGGACCTCTTTCTTCTTCCCCAGCCATTTAGGAAACAACTATCTGCAAAGAATGGCCCTTAGAGTCTTTGAGAATTTCAAGATACTGCTTGCTGAATGGGTGAGTGGAGGGAATGCTGAAGCCACCCAGAAGCAGTATAGCTCATACTAAATATGTGCTGTTCTCTGGGAAGGCCAAGTTTTAAGGCAGCAGGAAGGCAAGTCTCTTATTTATATATTTGTGTACTGTGAGGTGTACCCAAGTACTTCTCAGACCTCTACAGAAACCTGGGTCACAATCTCATAGAAAACTACCAATCCTCATGGTCTTGCAATGTTTCCATTTCTTCTTCCACAATCATCCCTGAGCTTTAGGTACAAGAGTTTTGCTGTAGATGTGTCCATTGGAACTGCACTCCACAACTCTGAATTCTCATTGGTTGTGGTTTTCTGTAATGGTCCTTACTTACTGTAAAGAGAAAAAGTCCTTTGATAAGGGGTAAGGAATATCCTTCTCTCTCTCTCTCTCTCTGTGTGTGTGTGTGTGTGTGTGTGTGTATGTGTGTGTCTGTGTGTAAGTATTTAGAATATAGTTAAGGATTATTGTGATTTAATAATGTGTCATTTGTAGGTTCTCCTCCAAAATCCATGACTTCACTAGTCCTGGGTAACTTGCTAAGTTTCTCTCACCAGGAATGTTTTCCCTCTTATGGAGTAGGTCTTAAGCCTAGAGCCATTAGTTACCTCCAAGGTATGTGTGCCACTATTGCAGCCTTAGGGCTCTCATGCTATGCTGGTCATCGTTTTATTGTTGCTCATAGGTGCCATATCTAGGTAGGAGTGTTGATTGCTCTCCTCCTTTTGAAGATTGCATGTCACCTTATGGTACCATGAAAGCTTGTACTTAGGTTAGAGGTTTTCAGGTCCGTCTTGCTAAGAGGCCTCTGGGCTCTGTGCCTGAAAGATATGATATCGACAGCAATAGTGATGTACTGTCTACCTCTGGGAGCAACCAAAGGCAACAGTAATATTCTGTAATGTCTTTTGGACAACCCTGACCAACAACAACTCAAAAGAATCCTTCTCATAGTGTTGGAATTTTTGTTAGATTGTCTCTGCCTCTTAGAAGACACATTGTCAGCCCAGTTTTAAAATTTTTGTTTAAACTATATATGCATATTTATTTTAAATGATACACCCATAAAGTTTCACCAACATGACTACCAAAACATGTGCTGATGACACCAGTGGTCATGCTAATGCCTATGGGAGAAAGCCTATTGGGCATCAACCCTATACAGAAAAGTCCAGGCAACTAAGGAATGCTTAGATTGCAATGTCCCACCAATATTAGGTGGTCATCCCTGAAAACATATATATGTAAGTAACATTATACAGATTGAACAGGTTGTATTAGATACACACATGCACATACACGTACACATATTCATACACATATAGTAACAACAATTGATGGAAAAAGAGACCATGGATTTGAAAAAGTACAAGGAGGAATATACTGTAAGGTTTGAAAGAAGCAAGGGGAAGGGCGAAATGATGTAATTATATTATAATCTCAAAAAATAAAACACTTAAAATTGCTCTGACCTCTGAAAAAGAAAGAAAGAGAGAGAGAGAGAGAGAGAGAGAGAGAAAGAAAGAAAGAAAGAAAGAAAGAAAGAAAGAAAGAAAGAGAAAAAATAAAGAAAGAACGGCAATCAGGCAGAAGTAGCATTTGAATCTGAACATGAACCATCTATCTACCCAAAGTACTCTGAGCCCAGTGAAGTTGAGATGTTACTTAAAAAGCCTTAATGGGCACCTTGGACCCTAACACACTGGCTGTCTCACATTGTAAGCTGCCTGTCGGCTTTCTAAAGAACGAAGACCCCGGTCCTGCAACTCTCCACCCCTATTAAGATCTGTTTCTATTTCTTAAGTTTTGGGTAGCCTACATTGAATTTTAAACATATTTTCTCTGCCAAAAATTACAAATAAACTATTGACATTAAAAATAACAAATAAGAAAGAAACCTGGGTCACATGTAGCAGACCTCAGCGCGTAGCTGCTTCTGCACAGCTGTTTCACACTGTGCAAGTCTTACTTTAATTATCTCATAACTGGCCTCTTCTCCTTCCGCTCTTAATTCCACACAGTCTGTTCCCAACCCTAACAGGCCCAGTGTGCTGCTAAACCAGAAGTCAGAATTGGCTGTTTTTCTGTTCTTCCTCTCTGAATGATTTCACCAGCTTAGAACGGAAAGAGGTCCAGGTGATGTTGAAGCTCTACAAATTAACCAGATTGGTGGACTCTAAGGCAGAGCTATTGGCAATTTGTAATACATACATGCTCGGTGGTCTGGCATCAGAGTGCCTAGAGAAGAGGTTCTGAATCCAGATAGCTGTGTTTTAGGAGCCCTCCTCCACCCTGCACTTTCCCCAAATGATATTATCCCAGCTAAAGTTTAAGCACAGTTGTGTCTTCATGTTGTCTCCCAGGATGGCAGGATAACTGCTTCAGGAGCCCCCTCCAGTTTCCTGTGATCACACAATGGGGAATTAGCTCACCATCCACTTCATTATCAGATAAAGCTCACATACTGAGGTGCTGAGAGATGGAATTTCAGTTTGCTTTTCTGAGGGGAAATGTATGAACCCCACACTGTTCAAAGTTGCATCCTGTCCTTCTCACTGCTTATCCCACTACTGAGCTGCCTCCTCACACACCCTACATTTTGCCTGTCTATTTGGTTTACTGTTTGGCTCCCTCCACTGGAATGAAAGTTGCCTCAGAGTGAGAATTCATGTCCATTTTCTTTTCATCCCCACAGTGTGAACAAGTTTTGGAGCATATCTGACAAACAGTAGGGAGTCCATAATGTTTGCTATGTGAATGAAAATGATAGGAAAGCATTACCATCTTTTGTGGTTAGGAAGTCAGAGTGTTCATCTTATGCTTGAAGCAAAGGCACTACCTCACTTTTTCTTTTAATGCTCATTGGACTAGCAATGGAGAGAGACATTATACCATGTGAAAAAAGTAAAGTTCGTTCTTAAACCAATGACAAGCCTCCAGATGGACCAGGCTGTCTACCAAGGAGAGACCTAAGCTTTTTGGCTGGACATGTTTAATAAGTTTAGTAACTAAGCTGGTAGTCAACATCAGGAATGGACTAGTGACAGAAATATAGTTGGTTCAAGTATGACTGTTACAGAAGGATTTTATACTGTGAACTCTTGTTTTATTATGTTCCTGTTAATTTGTTTGTATATTCCATCTATACATATACGTTCATCCCACACATTCATTCATTCCATCCATTAATATAGTCATTCAATTTCTTTGTACCATATCCATCCATCCATCCATCCATCCATCCATCCATCCATCCATCCATCCAATACTTGACTAAATAATGAACTGTGGACTCCAAGATTGGGGTTGTTGACTGGGTCTTTGAACTTTCTAGAGGATGCATTGAAAATAGGTTGAGCATGGGAGTGTGCAGAGCTACCAAGACAACCACTTTTTTTTTTTATGGGACAAGACTTGCTAAGAGCAGGGTGACTTACAGAAATGCATGAGATCTGTACCATCTGTAAGACCATACTTACCTTTTGGCATTGTAGTATTCCCATGAGGAATCTAAACAAAGCACAGTGGGAAGCCCACATTACGTACTCAGCATGGGTATTAAAGGAAAAAAAAACACATCCAGACATTGCATATTCAAGAGTTTGGTAGATCTTTGTTTTTCTTTTGTGGCATCAGGGGATAAAAAAGATCAAAACACAATCCAGTACAAATCAGAGTTCTGCCAATGGTAATGCCTTTCCCCGGGGAGCATTAATAACAGTGTCAAGAAAGGCATTGCGTGGCAATACAATATTCTGTACACGCCTCACATGTTCTAAGAGACTGGGGCTTTTACTGGCCCTCACAGCCAAAGTTAGGGACACACCTTGAGGTCACGCAAGACTTAAGACTACTATAGTACTGTGTGTTCAAACTTTTTGTTTAACCTGCGGTTAAGAGAACAACATAACAACCAATACCTGCCTTTTTTTTGAGAACAATGTAACAACCAATCTTATTTGCTTTGGATTTCCCACACAATTAGTGTTTACAACCTAAGCTAATGCATAGCTGCAATTTTAAGTTACATGCTTTTCCATGCCCATCACCCAGAGTAATACAGATGTATCATTTGCTGAAAGCAGCAAATGCCTAAGTTGAAAGCAACTTTCTAAAATTTACAGTGACAGTTGAAAGCATCCATTTATGGATATTGGTTGAGAAACAATGATGTTTATTATCTGGGTCAACAGGGATCAGTTGGAGCCAGTGACTTACTCCCTTGTAAAACTTTACTTTTTGTAAAGTATCTCACTCCTTACACACATGTTGTTCAATAAATGCAAAACAAAGCCCTTTGTTAGGGACAGACCCCAGTAATACACAGACACACAGACACACACACACACACACACACACACACACACACCAACAGCCACACCACTCGCGGACACACCCATACAGGCACAACAGTTAGTCATGGAGACACTTATAATGACAAAGACAGAAACAGACACATCCAGATGGTGATACAGACACAGGAACACACAGACTCACCAGGCAGCCTTTGGGAAGGTAGAGATTCAGAGCCCTGCAACAGACAGACAGAGGAAGGAAGATACAGGGAGGAAGAAGTAGAAAATTCAAATCTGGACTCACTCTTAGTTAAATAACTCCAAGAGAAAGTGCTTTGTGTTCTTTCCTTAATGCAGCATCAGCGCACCATTGGTACCTTGGGGTTAATCACTGACAGATATAATCTGTGCAGGACAGGAAATGGCAGCGTCTCCTGTATTTAGATTTTACGATGTTACCTATATCTCCTCAGTTATGAATCTTGTATGGCAGGCTTGAGGAATGCTTCCTAACAGCCCAGGGAGAGAAGCATAACAGAAAAGTTGCAGTTTCTGTGCAGTGCTGTTAAAATTAGGCGGAGAGGCTCTGAAGGCCGTTCTCTTTCGCAGCTCGCTTCCCCATGCTTCTTAGAAAAGACAGCAGCGAGTGGAAACTGAACAGCAAACTGCGTTCTCACCATCTGTCTTGAAAGAAGTATAATATAGGAGTGAATGTCACTCAGGCTACTTGGAAAGGGAAGCCATTTATAAGTGTCTCCAGTCCTGATTGAACACTCCACACAGAGTTGAACCAAACTATTCAAAAATACCTTCTGAGGGTATTTCCAGGGCTGGCAGTTCAATAAAAAAAGGCTCCAGGCATCAAGTGTATAAGCCATCTGCTGATAATTCCAATGTCTTTATTAGCCCAGATTAATTAAAATCGGAAGATAAGAAACCCTCTTCCATCCTCTCTGCCCTTTGCATTTCCTGGCAAGAATCATCAAAGCGTTCAAAGCATGTTGGGGGCCAACTCCTCCATCATTAGGAGTAACTATTCTTACCGCTTTTCAAAAGCCATACCTGTGGCAAGCAATCAGGTTGTAGGCTGCGAGGAGAAATGCATGTGTTTAAAAACTGAGCCTTGACAAACAGAAAAGTGTCAGTTTTTACAGCAGAGATGGCATATGCTTCAGAGCCTGAGGTAGGGAATGAGTGAAAAGCACAGCCCTTCACTTCCCTTCTGCGACAGTCTCCAGCACCCTGTCAAGATACTGCCTTGCTGGCCTACTTCTGACACATGGAACTCTTTTCTTATAGGTAAAGTATTTGATATTCATTTTCCCATCCTAGCAATGTGAGAGGTGGACTTTTTAGGTCATATATATAGGTCTGTATTGTGGGTGAGCACACTGCCTGCTTTTGTAACTGACTGAGGTCCTTGCTTACCCTAGAGCAGAGATGGTCACTAAACGAAGCATTTGCTCTTCTCAAAGATCACTGCTGAGCATCCTGCTTCATAGGGAACTGCAACATGTCTGTAGCCTTGGACAAAACTAGGTGTAGCGTCTATCCACGGTTCTTTGAACAGTGAATTTTTTTCAATTTAAGGCAATAGAGAGAGAGAGAGAGAGAAACAACAACTCAGCTTTGTTGCCAGTAATAGAGGGACTATTTTACAAGGAGCCGTAATGTGACTTAGACTTTTTCCACCTTCTTGTAGCAGTGTGCTGTATTTTAATAGACTTCCCATGCATTATGCAAACGGAATGCTTTACAGACTTGTCGCAGATGGCCGTTGAAAGTGACTATTGGCTGATCACTGCTTACCACTTTCTTTTTAGAAATGACAAGCTTTATCTGCCTACCCATAATCCCTAAGTTGAGGAGCGTAAACTACAGAATTAAAATAAAATTGAAAAGAATTCCACAGGGAAGGAATGACAGCATGGCTGGGTTTTCATCATGTCTTCCAAGTGCTACTATCAGGAGCTTGACCTAATAGTGCAGGGATATGGGCAGTGAAGCCTAGTGAGCGGTGCTTCTGCCAGGAGCAAGGAAAAAGCCCTAGCGAATGGGTTGTGCTGCTATCGAAGGAATGGGTTGCTTAATGGCAAAAGCAAGATTTTTGTTACAAGATTAAGTCTGCCTCTCCTGCCTCCTCTTCGGCACCTGCGTACTTCCCTTTCTCTTTCTACCATGTCATGATACAGCTTGAGAGCTCTTACTAGATGCCATCATTGTGCTTTTAGCCGCTCCTACCTCTACAATGGTAAAGTTCTTTTCTTTATAAATTATCCAGTCGGCTGTCTTCTCTTACAGCAGCAGAAAACAGACTAAAGAGTGCCCTTCAAAGAATGACTGGGAGGAAATATTTTCTTATGTGGCAAATGAAAGAAAAATTTCAAACCTTTTCAGCTAAGTTTTGAGTACTGGGGATATACTAATGGGAGGCAGGCGGGTCAAGGCAGGCAAGAAACATTTGAAAGCTCTGAAACCATTCATGTCCTCCAAAGTCGGGTGCTGATTATTACCAACACTGTAAGTCTAATTGTCATCTCCCAGTCCCTCCCTAAGGCTCTCAGGTCAGTTTTGCACACCTTCCATCCTCATCTCCAAACTCACTTTCTGTAGGAGATGTCCTTTGCCTTTCCCTCAGTAGCATCAGCTTATATCCATTTGACCTGTCTCATGAAAGAAGTCTTTCCTCCATTTTTATTTCTTATTCCTTTCATTTATCTGGCTGCTGAAACATCTCCATGTGAGCACAACTCATTTGTTGAAAGAGCCCTCTCTTTTCAGTGAAAAGAGTTTGGCTGAAAGAACTCTGTGTTTAGATGCCCAGTAGAAGCAGAGATGTTGATAGGACGAAAAGAAGTTCCTTGGGAATCATGAGCAGCAAGTACCATTCTGTCAAGGCCTCAAAGGGAGTGAAACTGGAAAGAGAGTCAGTGTGGAGACTGTTCAGGGAGGATCATCATCCACTGAGTCCACAAAGTCCACCCCAGGCCTCCCTGAAGACTGCAAAGTCCTTCGCTTTCGGTCCTACTGCCAACCTAGCCAATGTTTTCTAAACCCACATCTTAGAAGCAAATCTGTTAGCCCACATGTCACTGCCCAGTAGTGGAAAGAGGAGAGTTGAACCTCCTTTGAGACACTGTTCTTTTCTGCCCTGAACAGCTACACTCGGCTTGATGTATCTTAAGGCAGGACAATGGAGAAAAGTAATCACACAGAGTAGCAGAGACGAGAGTTTGAAAAGGAGATGTGGGAATATCACATAAAGGCAATGTAGTCACAGGCCTGTCCCCAGAGATCATTCCAGATTAGCTAATGGGGCAGTTCAGAAAAGACAACTTCCAGAAGGGGCTAAGAATGAACGTATTAGATTTCACTTCTATTCAACTTTTACTGAATGAACACTTACTTTCCTCAGTGTGTATTCTTGATAGTAGTTGGAAAGTAGAAGATAGGACAACATGGGTCTTTGTGTATGTCACTGTGTGTGCATTTTGGAGAATGAGAAAGGGGAACATCTGTGTCCATACCATGGGGATAGGAAAGAAAGCACTATACATTTTTCAGAGCAGTGTTTTTCTGTCTCCACCATACATCCTGCAGATAAAGATATACAGGCATATAAAATGTACATAGGAAGTTTGAAAGCATGTAGTTGTTAAGCGACAAGATATACTTTGACCTGAGGAGTCCCAAGCCAAGGTACTTCACAACCATGCAACATGAATTTTCTTCTCTGCACATAATCTGCATTATATAAACAGGACCGAGTATCTATTGTACTCTGTCGTTTCATAAACAGCACTTACGGCTCAGACTCTGAATCAAAGGCCATCATCCCACAAAGCCCTTGGACCACTCCCTTCAGAACATCTCACTTTGTATCTCAGTTGTCTATTATATCATGATTTTGCTGGGTGTCTATTACTTCTATCTGTAATCACTTGGTGAGTCTGTTTCCACACCTTTCTCCCCAATAAAATATGAAGACCTATGGAGGCAGAAATTGCTTTTCTTTCTCATGTCTGTCTCCCTAGTTCCTACAATCCTGTCCTGTACACACTAGGCATATGTCAATAACAAGACATAGGTCTGCGTGTTCAATAAATAAGGGTATTAAAAGAATATAAGTGTTAGGGTAGGGGGACACACAAGGCCTGGTTTTGGCCACATGACTAATGAGGAGTTGCAAAGTTGAATCTTCCCCTGACTTTCCATTTTTCTAACGATCTGTCCCCCGGACTCTTAAATGATATATTTCTACCTAGAACAAAACGGGGAGTCGCCTCCGAGGGAGCCAGAAACATCTGATTCAGATGTGACTCTACCTGTGTGGGTGTGTTCCCCACAAACTGGGATGTGACAGAGAGCTGCTGGGCTTGCAGATACCACATCCCAAATGCCTTCATTGTTTGTGGGTATTCCTGGAACTCTCTGCCGGGAAGAAGAGTTCATTCTTATTCTGGCTCCTGGCAGCCTGCATGGGTCCCTGTTACTGACAGGGCAGGTTACTGACAGGGCCTTTTGTTTAGTACCCTATCTATCAAGTCCTATTTATTTTTAAAATAAACTTTAAGTATACTGTAAACTCCCTTCACAAACAGATTTTTTCCCTCCTCTTTTACACCTGACAAGCCTCTATAAGGAACAGTAACTCTGTCTCATAAACATTTGAACCTGATCCTTTTAAGAAAGAATTACACTTAAGATACTCAAGAATAAGGAAAGTCTCTGTCTAAATCCTGCCTTCCAACTACTCATTTCACCATCTCTTTTCATCTTATTTCCTCCCTTCTTCACTTCCTTCCTCCTGTTTTATTCTTCTTATATTAACTTATTAGAGATTCTATACTGTACCCTGGTCCCAAATCTAGCTGATTACTACTATTAAGTAATGTGGTATTATGTGAATGTGTTTTGTTAAAAAGGCAAAGTGAATTCCAATTTCTCCATTCATCAAACCTAAGCATTGTAAATCTTTTACTTGTAAACCTACAATTCCATTTGACCACCAAATGCAAAGCTGATTAGAAAGGACATTGGCAGAATGGGACATAAAGGAGCTTGATATTTAGAGCCATAATGATGTTGATTCAATTCAGACTTCTTAGTATCAGGCCTTGGGGAAGCCTGCTATCCTTGCTCACTGTGTTTCTTCAAGGGATACGTGAGCAGTAATAATAACCCTTTGGGTGGGTTTTCAGGATATTTTCTAAGTATTTCCAACTTTGCCCCTTCTCAGCATAGTCCGCCAGCCCTTTATATAGGCAGGCTATACAATTTATTGTATCTGGCAGGATGGAAGGTAGATCATAGTTTGCAAACCCAGAATTTTTGACCCAAATCTTGCGTGCGGTGAGATGGCTCAGTGGTTAAGAGCACTTGCTGCTGTTCCTGGGTACTAAGTTTTGGTTCCCAGAACCTACACCCGGCAATTCACAAATGCCCATGACTCTTCTTCTGGGGAATTTGACGCCTTCTTCTGGTGTCCATGGGCATTGCACGCACAAGGTGCATCTGTAGAGGCACACATACACGCATAAAAACATCTTTTAAAAATCCCCCTATCTCCTATGTTTCTTTTAGCTCCCCCTCTCTCTCCACGACTCTCCCTCCCCTTGCCCTGTGTGTGTGTGTGTGTGTGTGTGTGTGTGTGTGTGTGTGTGTGTGT